ATCAGGTTAACTTCAGATTTAATCTTAAAATGTTAAGTTGACCAGTCAACTTCAGTGATATTAAAATGCCAAGTTAGAACCACCCTGATAGAAACTAGATACAGTACTAATTTGGCTTGATGGCCATTTAAAAAGAAAAAAAAAAAGAAAACAGGGAGTTATGGCAAGAAGGGGAGGAAAGTTCAGTCCAGGAGAAGAGAGATCTAGTAGTCCACAGGTTCGTCACCCCCTTCATCTAGCAAACATGTGCGAATCAGGGCCTCGGTGACCGCATAGGGGTCACAGTTGGCAGATGGGCGGCGATCCTCAAAGTAACCCTTCTTTTCTTGTCCCACAGTTCGTGGGATGCGGATGCTAGCGCCACGGTTCGCCACGCCTGCAGAGAACTCATGGATGTTGGAGGTTTCATGGTGGCCAGTCAGTCTGCGAGCATTGTCCAGGCCTCCCTTTGGATCATAGGCACGGATGTGGTAGTTATGCCTCTTTCCAAGCTTATCAATGCACTCCTCAATGCATCTAGTTAAGGATATACAAAACAATAGTTTAATACTCTTGTTAAAAAATAAATAAATAAATAAAAACCATGAACAAATCAAAGCCAGCCATTTATGATTTTCATTTGCCACCAATTAAAAAAAACAAAAAACAAGAAGCCTATTAGTGCTTACTTAAGCCCACCATCTTCCCGCATTTCCTTGGTGCTAAAGTTAGTGTGGCAACCAGCGCCATTCCAGTTGCCAGGGATTGGCTTAGGATCAAATGAGGCTACCACACCAAAATCTTCACAAACTCTGTGCAAGATGAAACGAGCTACCCACAAGTGATCTCCCATGCTGATGCCTTCACAGGGGCCAATCTGGAACTCCCACTGGAAAATAAAAGCCATGTTAAAACTAATCAAGAATTAATGGAAGAATTGAGGTCACATTCCAAAAGGGTAATTTTAGATGGCTTAATACACTTAATGGCTGCCTGTAGTGTTTGTTCCAGAACACACTGGAATGGAGGTTACCTGAGCTGGCATAACTTCAGCATTGGTTCCACAGATCTTCACACCAGCATAGAGGCAGGCTCTGTAATGCGCCTCCACAATGTCTCTGCCATAAGCTTTATCTGCTCCAACTCCACAGTAGTAAGGTCCTGTAGATATCAGAGCAGCATGTTATGACCAGACATCTTGAGTACATCATTGATATGGCCAATTATGAGTGTAAGATGAGCCCTCCTTACCTTGGGGACCAGGGAACCCATTGGAGGGCCAACCAAAGGGATGTCCATCGGTACCCAGGATGGTATACTCCTGCTCCATGCCAAACCAAGGGATCTGCTGATCTATAATTTCCATGATCTTTTTACATGTATGACGATGGTTGGTTTCTGTGTTCGAGACCAGAAAAGCTGTAAGTCTTCAAGCAAACCCTGATCAAACAAACACAGATGATGTTTTATCCTCAAACAAACGTACCGGCAGGTTTCCGGTTGTACTTGAGCACCTCACACAAGACCAATTTGTTGGGGTCTTTGCGGAAAGGATCCCTGAACATGGCGGAGGGGATGAGATACATGTCGCTGTTGGAGCCTTCAGATTGATACGTGCTGGAACCATCAAAGTTCCACTCAGGAAGATCTGAAGAACGAAACAGGATCCATTAGAATTTCCAGACTTAAATTGAAATATATAATTTCAATGTAGATTGATGTGGCTTTGTCTAGCTTACCTTCAATGCTTTTAGGCTCGGAGTCCAGTGTCCTGGTCTTGCATCGCAGTCCTTCTCCGGTTCCGTCTATCCAGATATACATGGCTTGTACGTTGTCTCCCTGAGGCAGTTCCATATACTGCCGTTTTACCACTTTACTCAACTGAGCACTGGCAGACGTGGCCATTTTTATTACTATAAAACACCTAAATAGAATGAAAACAGATTTTACAACACTACGAAGTAACACATTGAAAATATTGTTGCTCCTTCAACATGAAGCCACTTGCATAAGCATCAAAACATACATACAGCACAAGGACCAATAGTTAGGGTAAAAGACTTAAGCACAAACAAACATGCTAATTTAATCAATTTCAACACAGAGGCCTGTCACTAATAAAACAAACGGCATTGATTGGATAATAAACCTTTTATTCCCAACCAGGGATTTGTGTACCCCAGTGAATATTTAGTATGGCATGTTAAAACAAAACATCAGACAATAATTAAGATACAAAATGTGTCTTGAGCCTTACAAATCGGGTTTAAAAGGGGTTGGGAAAGACCAGACCAGAAAGACCAGACCAGATGGAATTCTCTTGCATTCACTTGTGAAAGGGTTGTTCGATCAGCATGGAAATCAGTATTGATCACACAAATCAGTAGATCAATGCAAAAAGCATCATCGCTGCTCTACAAACAAACATGTCAAAGTAGCCACAAGCATTTAACTCGAAGCTTTCCTGCGCATCCTCGACTACATAGATAGCAACCGGTAGCCATGGTTACAGCGCGGCAGTACTACATCACAGCAAAAAGTATTGATAAACGGCGATTTCACAAAACAACAAGTCAATTCGGTTTAAAATTAACTCACTATCAAAAAAAGAATGCAGTTGCATAATCCCAAATTAACGTTCTCAGACACGTGCATTGCACACAAATGCAGTCTGATAAATAAAAGAAAGCTACGTACCAGGCCACCGACAGAAATTAAAACGTATAATATCCGACCGGCAGGTCCAGTTATTTGACTGATTATTTTTTGTTGGGTGTTCTCTCATTCTCTGACCAGGAGCTTGGGCTGTCAGCCTGATTTATATGTATGGTGGCAGGATCGCGGCGCGTGTGATTGAAAAAGTATTGATAAACGGCGATTTCACAAAACAACAAGTCAATTCGGTTTAAAATTAACTCACTATCAAAAAAAGAATGCAGTTGCATAATCCCAAATTAACGTTCTCAGACACGTGCATTGCACACAAATGCAGTCTGATAAATAAAAGAAAGCTACGTACCAGGCCACCGACAGAAATTAAAACGTATAATATCCGACCGGCAGGTCCAGTTATTTGACTGATTATTTTTTGTTGGGTGTTCTCTCATTCTCTGACCAGGAGCTTGGGCTGTCAGCCTGATTTATATGTATGGTGCAGGATCGCGGCGCGTGTGATTGGTCAGTTAGAAGCGTGATCTGTTTGTTCTCAGGTGATTGAAGGGACACGCGGCTGCATCATTGGCCGGGGTTCCAGCAGCTAAGTCACGCCTTCAGCTTCGGCGAGGGAACATTTGCGTACGAATAGTCCTTTGTTGTTGGTCATTCTCTTGATAGAGCGATAAGGAAGTTTGTCCCACCGAAGTAAAATCACAACATTCCAGCCTGTTTTAACAGGCGTTTAAGAACATGTTTCTCAGCAAACCCAGATAAACGAAGCATTTATGGGGAGAGAGAGCATCATGCTTCACAAGATGTTAAATGCCCCCATTTGGTGTAAAATAATCTTCATACTGCATTCATGGTCTTGGAAACTGCTGCGACTTCTTCATTGTCATAAGAGGAAAAACAACCTCCAATTAAATTAAATAGATCTGATATGTTAATTTGGTTTCAATTTGCTAATTCATTTTCTTGACAAGTAACTTGCATCATTCATTCATTCATTCATTCTTGGGTTTTCTAAAGCAAGATAGATATCTAAGCTTAAACCAGATAGTACTTAGTTGCGATTATGCAGCCTTAAAGGCATGTCGTTTTAAAAAAATGCAAATAGACTCCTACTCATAAACTAACTATCTTAACCAGAACCACTGTGCAAGAAAGCAATAATTCTCATTATCTTTCACTCAGAATTGCTCTTTCACTCATAATTGTGTGATGTAATTTAAGTCATTAAAATGAGACCAGCACACCTCAAACAGCTGAGTAATCTTCACACAACATATAGACCAGGTGCACTGAAAAGGGCATTGGAATTCAAATACGTTTTGACAACATGATAGCACAAATAGCCAATCCAGTCATTGCTAGATTTCTCTAATTTACTTATCTTACACTAACACCCTGAGACAGACTTTTAAATATATTTTATTGGATTTTGTATTTGTAATCCTTTCCCAAATACTTTGTTTCCTCTTTAACATATTGTATGAGGTACAATGTTTAAACCTTTGTAGGTGTGTTTAAGTGTTTTTACATTTGTTTCTGCAAAAAAAAAAAAATACTTAAAATAAAATAATTTGGCAATAGTTTTATTTTCCAGGT